TAGAATTACCATTTTGAGTGAGTAGGGCCTAGCAGGGGCTATGTTTTGTTGCAGGCAAACTTAGAGATGAAAATTGCATTTATAGTTTTTGGACAAAAACCTTGAAACTTTTTTCCATTTCTCAAAAATTTGCTCACTCTTTACCAAATGCTGAGTATCTCCTGCATGCAGAATAGAAGGTGCAACTGGGTTGAAAACAAATATGTGTCAGCTGCCATACTAACTTCTGTATTTACAGTAACGAAGCCATGGCACCTTCAAGTTTCATTTTTCTGTGTGTGTGCACACCTGCCTTTTTTTCTAGTCTTTGGCTCTATGAGAGCAAGAAGCAAGTCTAATTTTTTTCCTGATTAATCCCTAGGACCAAGGCTAGTAGATAGAATCTGGAACATTCTTGGTGCTTAATAAATACTTGTGGAATGAATGGAGTGAAAACCGATAATGATTCTACAGTATGATGCCTGTGAATAGGAGTGTGGCAAGAGTGCAGCATGCCAGGGGAGGCAAGAACTATGAGCACTTTGCGAGCTGCCTGGCAATCTGGGGGCAGAACCACAAGCCCTTCTCCAGAAGCACAAGAATGCTTACATTCTTGTTGGGGCAGTTTCAGAAGAAAAGGGAAGTGTACTGTCACATAATTTAGTGTCCTTAGGGTTGTAGAAACTAAGGTGTTTCTGTTTTTGTTTGTTTTTATGGGGGTTTGTTTAATCACTTCTCAACCAAATCACTTTATGCATTTTTGCTTTGTCCATGACATGGTTTTAAGTCATTCTAAGTAATTGTCAAAAACATATAAGCTGATTTTGGAAGCAATACTTCTATGGCTCTTTCAGAAGAGTTATTGCATCAATCCTTCCTAGTTCCTACAATTCATTTTGTTGGTTTCCAAAGCTCCTCTGGGATGAAAACAAAACTGCACTTCAATTTAGAAGGAATTCCTAACTTGCAGTCACTTTTACTGTCACTGATCATTTGGATACATCAGTGACACAACTGATAGTAGTGATCTTACTGGTATGACAGTCATGCAGGTTGGTCCCTGTTTCCTCTCTTCTATAAATGCTTAAAGAAAACTCTTGTTCTTCCATAACAAAGGTAAGTGAAAAGTCTTCTTTAATTAGTGCATGATGCAGGTGTGAAGAAATAGCTGGGTATTTCTGCCTTCTCCTGGCAGTAAATAAGTGCTAAACTTTGACCTTGGAAGACTGAGCAGTGACATGTGTTTGAAGCAGTCTGACTGAAGGAGAGCATTAAAAAAAAAAGCCCAGGGTAGTTGGAAACAGCAGGCAAAATAACACCAAATGTGTTGTGATAACAAAGCAAGTTGGAGGCTTTCCAAGGTAGAAGCAAATCTTTCAGAGGACATAAAAGCTGAAAAGAGGAGCTGGGACTCATGGATTGAAGGCATAATCCTGACAGATAGAGAGCAAAGATCTTCTATATATTTTAGCTAAATTTAATCCTCAAGAAGTAGGTATTATTCCCATTTCACAGGTGAGAAAACCAAGGTCTTGATGTCTTATACTTTGGGTGTGCCTGCTGCTAGTCCACGAATAATAGAGTTCCTGTGTGTTACTGCTCTTTCCTGCTCCAGCATTCACAACAGACATCAATCACGGCATAGCCTAGCTGCCACACCCCTGGGCTAATCATTCCTCTTGTTTTACAGATGAGGACAGAGATGTGAAGACTTCGTGCTAGTCCCAAATTACACAGGAAGTTAAGAACAGAGCTAGGTTTGGAACTCAGTTGTCTTGATTCCTAGTGAAGTTGGCTTCGCATTGGCCCAACTGCATCTACTTTCTTCCCCTTCTGCATTGCATCACAAAACAGGAGACTACAGGGACTTAATTTATTATAATGGGGGGATTTAAAATGCATATAGTTTTGCAGCTCCTGTCTAAGACTATGTAAGTCACAAAGTTAGCAGTTTGGCAATAGCAAGATAGGAATGTGATAGCAATGAAATGTGCTAAGGGATTATTAGCCAGTGAGGTTAAAGTGTTGTTGAATGGCAGAGTGGTGATGAGGTTTTGCACAAAGAAGAAAATGAATTTGTTCTATCACTTACTAAATAGAGGCCTTTGGTCACAACAAGCCAAAACAGTCACATTCATGAAATGAGAACAGTAGAACTATGCTTGACTTAAGAAGTTGATATGGTGGTCTCCTGTCCTGGTTCTAAGAGGTGGTTCTAAGCTATGCATTTCTATTCTCCACAGAGAACTCCAAAAGAATTGAGAAGTCAGGAACAAAGGTCCCAAAGATACAAAGCAAATGAAACAAATGAAGATCATTTGTTTCTTATAGAAGAGTTAGAAAAACAAAACAAAACTCTCAGGTGCTAGTCATTCTGGAAAATGCTTTTTGAAAGGCAGCACATTTTATGGCCCTCTTGGCAGAACTATGAATTAATATGTGCTCACAGCCCAAGGCCAAAATATACCAGTGTGTGAAAAAGTTTTAAAAAAAGTTATACATCTATCACTGTTTTCTAAGGTTTCATGGTAATTTGCATTCACCGGGGAATTAAATGGATGTGACACATATTTACATTAATTTATTCAGTAATGATATGTTTTAAGGAGATTCAAAGTGAACATAATAATGGCAAGCCAATCAATCTTTGACAGTTAGCATTGCAATGAATGTAAAAACACAAGGGGTAGGGGATGGAAATGCAGGTGATTTTCAAAGGTCATTTCCAAGAACATCTTATATATTTCCTTGACACATGGCCAAACTAGTAGTCTGTACAAGTAATAGTCATGTTAAAACTCAGCAGAAACAGGAGAAACAATTCAAGACCTGACTTTAAAAGCAGCAATCGGGAGAATAAAGCAAATGAAAGTCACCCAATAAAAACAGGTGATTCAAGTTAATACTTTCAAGATTTCTTCAGTAGGGAGAATTATGTTTGAATATTCAATGTGAAACTGTTTCTAAAGGATTTAGGTGAATTGCTTCTTGCTCAGAAATGCTTTTGTAGCCCACAGCTTGAGAAAGATCATTATATCAATTTCCAAAATGAATTTACACCTTTATTTTGGAGTGGCTGGTTGGATACAAAGTATACTCTCATGTTGTTTTTTATTAGCATAAGTCTTACAAATCTGTGTCTGGCAGCATAGAGAAGGAGAGAAAGCAGTTCCTGACCTTGGGAAAAACCCCCATTTTCTCATATTTAAGATAAGAGAGTTGTACTAAATGCTGTTTAGACTATGTATTTCTAATACTTTATATGCATATCTGACACCTGACAAATATTTATTGAAGATTATGACTCATGGATTGGCCAGTGTGGATGGAATGAGCCAGAAAAAACAGAAGTCAGTCTTTGGGCCATTAAATCAGTTAAAAAGATTAAATAAGATATCCCTCCCCACCCTCACATTTCAGCCACAACCTAGGGAGCTGGAATGGCAATCAGATACATGAACTCCATGCTTACATGAAAAAGGATTTATCTTGTTTTCATAAAATTTTAAGCAACTGTCTACATATAATTATCAGAAATTAGATGTTTTGATTGTCAGACTGCCATCTCTGTGTGGATAGCTGATGATAAGTATAAATAAAAATCATGTTTGAATACTTTTTAATAATTCTGTCATCAACAGAATAAAGACAACCAACATCATTTGTGTTACAAATAACTGAATTCACAAAGTTCCCCTTTGACTAGATCTGTTAAGTGAGAAGCCAATTCCTTTGCTTGATGCCACAGAAATATTTTATGAGACAGGGACTGTGAGATTAAATCACAGAACACAATAGTAGACTATTCAAGCAGTAACAGTGAAAAAAACCTCTGTATCTGAGAAATCATGACTTACTTTTTCAGCATATATTTTACACAGGGCCATATACAACGTAAGTGGTTTGGAAAAATTTGTTGGTTGAGAGTTGATTTCAGTCAGAATCCCTATTTCCTTAAAACTACTACAGGTGCAAAAAACAACAAAAAAAGCCCATTCTTATGATTATGTATTTAAAACAGTAGCATGTTATATACTACTGGTATGTCATGTTTTAAAAACCATACTCTTTATTAGAAGACATTTGCAAACAGCTACAGCAAAGCTTATGGATATATGGTGGAGTCTCATTCATTACTCACCCACTCACCAAACATTCACTGTGTGCCCAAGTGCTAGGCACTGCTCTAGGTGCTGGAGATGGGCACATGGGCATGGAGGGACAACTAAAGGAACTTTTTGTTCTCATGGGGCTTAAATTCTAAGAGCTAGAGAGACAATAAACACGTAAGGAAATGAATATGTAATACAAAAAACGCTAAGTAGAAAATAGAGTAAGGGACAGAGGGTGATGGTGATTTTGATACTCTTATTTGTCAGGAAGCCACCATGAGAATGGGACAGTTGGGCAGAGATCCCAAAGAAGTGGGCATGAACCATAAAAACATTGGGGAAAGAGAGTTCCAGGCAGAGAGAACAGCAACTATCTGAAGCATTCCAAAATGCACACCAAGAATTTGAAAAGCCTAGGTTTTTTCCAAAATTATTGGAGGCTCTCTTGTAGCTGACCTCTTTGACCTCTCTGACCTCTCAAATCTTAGTGACCTCTTGCTCCCTTGAGCTTCTACAGCAGAATTTAACTTAAATAAATTCTACAACAGAATTTAACACAACTGAATGCTGTTCTGTTTTGTTTGGTTGGTGAGCTGTGTCTGATCTCAATTGGACTGCAAACTTACTGATAGGGACCATACTTTCTATTTCAGACACCAACTCCCTGCCTCTCCCCTACATACTCAGGTGTTGATCAGATATTAGATTCTTAATAAATGTATTTGATTAGCTTAAGGTTGTGCATGCAAAATTATTTGCCATTTAAATTTTTTAGCAGGAAATATTCCCTTGTCAAGATTCTCTGGGTATGGTATGGAATCGCTATTAGGATCCAGTATTTCCATTTGCAGCTGTATGCACTCAGGCCTGCATATATGAAAGCTTACTTAGAAGGAGAAAAACAACAAATGAGGAGATATATTAAAAGGCTTTATTCACAATAGAGAAATTTTACAAATATAGTTTTTAAAAATTATGTGTCAATCTATTATGTTTCCCATAACATCAGAGATTTATATAAAGTTTGAAGTGACAGAATAGATTTATGTACAAATCAAAAACAATCAATGGAAAGAATGGATACTAACTATGAAGGAGTCATGACAAACATCAGTGTTCTGTAAATTGCCATACAATTTATATGTGTAATATTAATCACACAAAGTATACCAAAAAATATGCAGGAACACAAAATTAAGGGCTATTTCAATCATTCACCTTTTAGGATGTGAATACATATGTAAACTTAACTGCACAGTTTAGCTGAAAATGAATGAAAAACAGCTGTCTATGTAAGGACTTCAGTTGTTTAAAATAACACAAAGTGTAACTTTAATTAAACTACATCACCATAATAGTAATCTCTTTATCTTGTTTGCATTTTTGGTGTTTTGGGACTTAAGTTAAAAAATCCAAGTTCCAGAACTGACAAAACTCTGTTCTGGCCATTGGCAGAGCAACATGTAGTACAATCTCCTTGCCTGTTTATACCCAGACACAAAAGGTACACTGTAGTGTGTACATACAACCTGGTTTTAATATCCCATCTGCTGCAGAAATACATATAAACTTTGTGCTCTTTGAAAGCAAAGTGAAAATAAAATAAATTAAATTGCTAGTCCAAGGATATTCATATGAAATTATAATCTAAATACATATGGCCCAATTTTGGCAATGATCTTTTATAATTTGCCTTTAAGTGCTGGGAAAAGAGGATTCTCACTATGCATTTACTTTATAAAGTGAGCTGAAAATGTGAGTAGAAGAAGTTATTCTGGGTCACAGAAACACATAAGCATGGCAATAATGATATAGTTTTTCATTTACTAATTTTATCAATTTATCCTTTCACATATACCAATGTAGGTGGTCAAAGTCTTTGTACCTCAGTATATGTATCATCATATTAGCCCTTTCATGGGAATATATATAAGATATGAAAACAATATGATATAAAAATATGAGGTGTCACTAAATCTATTCTTGGGAAAAACCACTCATATCTCTAAATAATGTTCTTCGTAATGAAGAATCATGTAATTATTTTCATCTGCTACAGGACTGTTGGGGATTGGGAGTGTCCATTCCTACATATTGCTCCTAAGATGGAATCTCTATGTTAAATTTCACCTGAAAAAATATACTATATTCTTATTTGGCCTAAAAGTTTATTAGATTTTTCTCAATTGACCATGAATAGATACACTGGCAAAGCTTTTTCAAAGGTAAATCCTGCTTTTATAAATTGAAATGAAATTAATTTACTCCATTTTAGAAAGGGCCCTTTTCAAATCTGAAAAATCTGAACCAAATGCAATGCTTTCTTTTTAAGAAAATAAATTAAAGATGAAATGCAAACCAAAAACTATATGAAATATTCACCCTCTCTTTAGAGATACTCAATTTCTCTATATATTCAGTTAAAAGCAAAAGCTGGCACATTAAAAGTTATACTATTCTCTTTTAGACGTATAATCATTCATAGCAGAGCTCTGCAAAACTTGAAGGCTCCTTTTGCTGTGTGGTGGGAATGGAAAAAATTTACCAGTACATGATCCAGAAATGACACAGGACATTTAAAGTAAAATTCAAGAACTAATTCACAAATTAGGAAACACTAATTAACCAACAAAAATATACTGTGGTTCCAATGGAATGAGGTCAACATGAGGTGATCCTTTGGGATGACATTCTAATTTGAATTACAATGTGAGTGAAGTATTTTAGAAGACATTCTATCAAATAAGATAGACCCGCGTAAGGAGGCTGTCACAGTTACAAGATCTGTCTCTGGTGGATAGACAAACCAGATTAACATAACATTGAAAAGGAAAAAGCTTTTTTAATATTTAATTTACTATTATGGCTTTTTGCAACATGGCAAAACATTACAGCTTAAAGCAGACATCATCTCCTCATAGAGGAGGAAAGAGTTTTGCAGTCAAATCAAAATTGTAATTAAGAGGTCACTGGTATACCATTCTATTCAGTTTAATAAAAGTGATACCACACCCTTCATGAACTCCAGAGGTTACTTAAGGAAAAAATCCTGTGATCCACTGACTGAATAATAAAGGATATGATAAGGAATTTAGGTGCTTCTATGCCTATGATAATAAACATAAAAGACTGCAAAACAATTTTAGAACTTATAATAATCACAGAACTATTAATAAAAATTTGGCCAAATACCAGAAAAGGAATTATTAAGGTATGTAGTGAAGGGAATGGAGCAGAGTAAAATACAAAATGTCCTTCTATTTTTCATTGACTTCAACTTCCTTTTTATTCATATTGAGTATAGGGAGTAGATGTGCCTCGGTATTGAAGATCCAATGTTCCAGGGGAAGTAGGTCATCATCAGAAAATATTAAGTACAAATATCTGGAGAGAGAAACATGAGTATATGACACCTGAGAGACGATGTCAGTCAGTGAAATAAGACACAGCAAAAACCACATCAATGTCTTCATTCATCTTACGGTGAGCCACGGACAACAGTCAAGCACAGAGAAACCCAGAGGGGATATACGGATCCATGTGGAGTAAAGAAGTTACTCTCTGCTTTGGTATTAGTGTATGAGAACCATACAAATCAGTCCCATCAACCTTACCTAATGATTGAAAACATGTTCAATTATTGCTATGCATGTCGATTGGAATTCAGAAGCCATCATACTTGATATTATCTGAATGTGTTTGTGATAAAAACATCTACAAAGATCTGTCCAGGTGCCTCAGCCACATGCTTTGAGAATAATTTTTACTTACTTCAGTGTTTCTGCTAGGAAGAAACTTTGCTGCACATCATCGTAACTCTCATGTTTGAGGTAAACATCCCTGAGGCCGGAATAGCCCCCGTTCACTCTGCAGTGATTTTCCAGGGCCTAAATTACAAAGAAGACAGGGGGAAAGGTCATATTTCAGTAAACTGATTGTCACTAATTGTTACTATTAGATTGTCAAATTCAAATAAAATGAAGATTCAAATGCAATGATAGGTTGTAACAGTTTGATTTGAAGATTGAAAAAAACATAAAATGTAAATGCAAATAAGGTATGCAAAGCTAACAGGACTTATGGATAACATACCTCACATAATTGGAAAAACTTTTACATTTAGTTTTGGAATAATTTTTCAGTGGTTTTTTTTACCATTTCCTCCTATGGTCGTGGATCAGGGTTCGTCAAACTGTGGACCATAGGCTGTATCTAGTCTGCTGCTTGTTTTGTAAATAAAGTGTTACTGAATCACAGCCATGCCCACTTGTCCGCAAACTCTGTGGCTATTTTTTTTTCTACAATGGCAGAGCTGAGTAGTTGTATATGGCCCCTAAGCTTAACTCTCCCTATTACAGAAAAAGTTTGCTGACCTCTGGCCTAGAGAGATTGTTAATGTCAGCTGGGATTATAAACTACTGGTTTATATGGAAAGCAGTGAGAGAGATGTGGCTGGTACCTATTCCTAAATATGTGTTTTTCTTTCCTTTAGTCTGGGAAGGAAGAAGATGGGATGAATCTACTGGTAACTACCAAGAGAGAAATGATCCTACATTTCTGTGGTTGTTGAACTATAATGAATATTTGGAAAAGAGATGGGTTGGGCAGAGAATAAAAATTTAGGTAGCAGTCTGAAATAACTTCCAGTCACTTTGTCAGCCACATTGTTGACAAAACTTTGTATTTTGAAATACTGGCTTTGGCTGCTTTGCAGTTACAAGGCATCTCCATCTCCAGGAAAATAACTTTCTACTCACTACATCCTATTCATCCTATTAGCCATACTGTCAAATAAAAATTTCCATTATATAAAAATTGCCACAGGATATCTGGTTCTAATTCAGAGAACATGGATAAAAACAATAAAGTTTAAGATGAAAATCCTTAGTATTTATAATGAAATAAAATACAGAGAACGTTAAGGTAAATTTATTCTTAGGTTCTCACGTAATTCACTGATTTTTCAGTTTTCTTATGAATCATAACACTGTCCCAATTTTCTGGCATGCATAAGTACACCCTATTTTTCTTCCATTTAGCCCAACTAGCAAGATGGAGAGCACAGACTTTGTTATATTAGGTGAGGGTTTTGGAGGAAACATGGCTCCAAGAGTGCAGAGCCCAGAAACGAGCAGAGGGAAGGCAAACCCAGTGAGCAGGGACAAGGGGACGTGCGCTCAGCTTCCATCTGCAGATATGGACAATGACGGACGATATTGATTTTGTTGTACAGGAGGGCTTGAGGGCAGATGGGAGAGGCAAGCAGCAGGGAGGAGAAGCATTTAGTTAACAGATTTCCGTAAAAGAAAACCGAACTGGCAGGCTGTAAGAATAAAGCAAATGTCTCATGACTTGGTACTTTTTAAAAGCCAATGGGGAAAGTAAGATGAACTTAAAAAAAAAAGCTTTGATTATATTCTTAGCTGCAGACAATGAGCCACATTGGGGCAAAGCCTGCAAAAAAGAATTTTCATGTCCTCTCATATTTTTCCTTCCTTCCTTCCTTTCTTGATATAAGTTGTTTTTGATAAAAACTTAAGTACCAGATATACTGGAGTAGGCCAAAATTATTTGTGAAAAAGGAAAAAAAATCAGGATTTGGGAGAATGGGCAAGGTTGTTATGGAACATAATGAAATCCTATATCCAATAAAAAGGTTTTAGCCACGCAACTTTTTCTGTTTTTGATGTTCTTTGGTCATAAGGAAATGAGGGGGCCAGGCATGATAACCAGCTGTCCCACCCCACCCCCGGGGAATTTCTGTAAGTCCTTCTGTTACTACAGAAAAAGAATTGTTCTGGGGGGCAGACAATGCCCACTCGTCTTTCCTCTTTTCAGTTCATCTCACTCATTCTTCTCCCACAGTCCTGATGTGGCAGCTGTCATCGTCTAGGACAGAATGGGAGGTTTTAGAGCAGGGGAATCTCAGCTCTAGACTCCCTTACCGTGGTCTTAGAGGTTCCTGGACTCAGGCAGTCCCTTTGCCCAACATGGCACTGTGAAAATCAAACAATCTGAAGATACAGCACAGTGACAGAGGCTCTCAGAGGTTTAGAGGGGCCTAGGGACTTTATTTTTCGAGGCTTTTGGTAAATCAAAAAAAAAAAGAAGGGGAAATGCCAAAGGGGTATTTTTTACTTTCAAAAATGAAAAACCTTCATGTCAAGTCTAAATTTTAAGCCTTTAGGAATATGAGGCTGGATAGTCACTCTCTTGGCCCCCATTAACAGGCCCCGGTTTTACAGCATCTCCGCAGTGGATGCACTCGCGTGTCTGTGCCGCACAGTCGGATCAGAACACCATTTTACTACCCCCTGTTTTGGGGACTCTCAGCTGCGATGCATTGGGCCCACCTTGATTTTATGTAAATGCTTACATTATTAGTGACCATATGTGACTGGGGTGTGCTAGAAGGATCTGAGCTGTTTACAGTGACTGGAGCTCTAAACAGAGGATGAAGGACAAACGTGACCCCAAGTGACCTAACTTTTTTGTGTGTGTGGGGAGGGGAGAAAAGTAAGGGAATAGCGAGCAACTTCAGTTCTTCAACTTCAAATGGTAAGTCAGAAAGCATCTTTGTTAGGATAGAAAAACAGTCTCTCATTTACCATGTTAGGTAAACAAGTAACTAGACCCATGGAGATTTCCAAAAGCAGATCTCAGGGAACAGTGCTAAATAAGGCTGACTGGATGAGTTCGGTCTGACCTCAAAGGTAGAACCAGGCAGAATGGATACATCAAAGAGAGTTAGGAAATATGGACCCAACCCAGAAGTAGGAGCTGGGAAGACAAATCACTTTCTGAGGTTGAGAATACCATGTGGAAAAGGTTAGATGTAGTCGACTAGAGAAAAATGTCTGTGCAAAAATACCCCTTATCCACATGGCCCAGAAGAGAGATTATATAACCCATCTTTACCCAAACATCTATGAATATGACTTATAGTATGAGCTTTATCAGAATAGTAATTATACATATTTAACTGATAGGAATTTAATTTCTTCATGACATTATTGAGAAAAGCAAAAGAACTGTCAGGTAGATTTTTGTTGTTGTTAGGTAGATCCAAAAGTGCTTGAACATCTGTGATTAATGGACTGTTGGTAAACCCGAGGAGGAAGTCTTCAGTGCTGTATGCTGGATTGTATATTTTCATATCTTGCTCAACATTGCTATTGTGCCTGATGTTATCATACAGAAATTTTGTTAAGACATGGAAAGCAGGTCTAAGTGTATCAGTGAAGGAAGGTTGGGAGGGGAGTGCTTTGCTAGAAGACAGGATGATGGCTAACAAATACTTTACAAACTGCAAGTATGGGTGAAAACACAAAGGAGCAAGAGTAGCTAATGTTGCAGCAAATATAATTTGACCATAATTTCAATGTAAACTAGGGGTTTCAAAAATCTACTGAGAGAACAAGTTGGACCATAGGCTGTGGGAAATAACACTCAGAACAGGCGTTCTTGAGTCACACTGCTCAGCTCTGAAAGACCGCAGCTGGACACTATGTCATGAGGAGAAGGGAAATGACATGGAGGGAAATGACGGATGAGGAAGGGAACAGTTGGCACAATGTACTGTCTTCAGATAACTGAGGAGATGAAGTGTAGAAGAGAGACGGTTTTTTTTTTTCAGTACTTCAGTAAATTCTGGTTTCAAAAGGAGTAACTTTTAACACTTTCAGCCATTAAAAAATGGAATGAATTACATTATTTGTATAATTACATTATAATAATTATGAATTACATTATTACATATATTCCTTTTTGCTACAGAGTCTTTGAATTGACAGGGAATAGCCATGTGGTAAAGATATGAAGAGGAGTCCTTTCTATGAGTGGAAGACTAGACTAGGTGATTTTTAAGATCCCCTGTTTTTAGTTTGTGTTCCACTAAAAGAGGAGCATGAAACAAGGGTTGAATGCAGGGAATGTTTTGGGGAAGTGATATCAGGAAGTGAGTGAGTCGGGAGGGTGAAACAGGGGGTGAAATACATTGAGCAGGTGACAGCTGTGTGCAGTGGGGGCTCTCTCCCCCTGGACATCCTCTGGGGAATATGTAAAACATATCAGAAACACTATTCAAAGAGGAAAGACCGGGATAGTTATCCATCAACTCCCAAACCTCATTGGTTGAGGGTTCTCCCTGGAGCCATTAACTCTCCTCCACTCCCAGACCACAGCCAGCTGCCAGGGAAGAAGCCTGGAGTCAGAACAGCTGAGAAGCCCCGGGCGTGTGAACTGATGCTGTGAGGCTTTATGAGGCGCTGCCCACTGCAGTAGCAGCTGAAACACGGGGGGCACAGTGGGGATGTGACACAGAGAAAAAGAGTGCTGCCACACCCCCCAAGTCTGGAATCTCTGTGCATGAAAAGAGGCAAGAGTCTCCAGCACTCCTCCTTCTCTGCTGTACGTCAAGTTCCAGCAGAAGTTACTAGTGGCAAAAACGGGATATCTGCCTTGTGACACAGGGAAACAGTTTCACATCATATGCTACATTAAAAGTTGACAATAGATAAAAATCCTAACACGTAAAACAACCTTATTACCCTACAAACAAACTCCCTTGAAGAACCAAGGAGACCAAAGCTTCCTGTCCACATGGCAACAGAGATTTACTTACTTTGCATTTTTGATCAATTCTTTATCATACATTTTTCACATTTCAACATCTCTGAAATTAACATGTCATAATTTAATTGCTAGGGTTGTACTTTCTTAGTGGTATATAAAATAATGGCATTTCTTATCAATTATGGTGTTTTACACTTGATAAAATAAGTTATTTCTGATATTTTCAATTATTTTTTCCCATTGAAGACCAAAATAATTTCCTACCACCAATGCTTAGATGAACCTCAATTTTAATACATTTTACAGAGGAAAA